CCACACACACACACAAACACACACACATACACACATACACGCAATTATCGCCGCTCTCTTTCTAGGAACCCCCCTCTCCCCTTTTTTTTGGTCCCTTCTCCCCGAATTAGGTATTGGGCCCTTCTATCAGTAAGGCGCAGCATACGATTATTGCGATTGGTATTGAAATCGAATTTGGTCAATTAAGTGTTCGGATGAGGCGAGTATCGAATAATGGCCTGTTCTGGTGACCGTGTGTAGGTTGCTTAGAATGTCACTGGCAGACGTTAAAAAGGGATGCTGGGCCTAGGGATGAGCATCCAAGAGGGAGGCCGTGTGCCGTTGGCCTGAATATCCAGCTGCTGTTTTCCCCTGTTCGCGGTAAGTTTGCTTTGAGTGTCTTTTTAGGACCCTTCATACTTTAAAAGAGGTTTTTTGTGTTCTGGAGCTTAATTTTGTGAATTCTATTAGGCGAGTCTTTGTGTTAAAAGCATTTGAATTGGCACCCCCCCCCCCTTCCAAGAAAACAAAGGGAAAATCGCAACAACAACAACAGCAACAACATCAACAACAGCAACAACAGCAACGACAACAACATGACCCATAATTTCCCGGTCGATCTTCCATGTAACACACCAGGTGGGAGCAATAAGCAGCGAGTATCGCTTCCAGTAGCCCTCTTTTAGAGTGATACCGTTGAAAAATGAACGTCCGCAAAAATACGTTGGCGACATAGCGCGTTTGACACTTTGTTTTAAGGAGTGATGTATCCTAATAAGAAGTAGACACAAGATTGTTCTGAAAGAACTTTGATTTATGAAATGAGACGAAATATTTTGTATCAGTACCAGGTGTCGAACTGTACAAAATTGAGAGCTAATTTTAGAGTTTGCTCTTTGGGCTACCTCGTTCAGATGCGGCAGAACCTACCTCAACAAGTTTTACGAAGGCATGCCCTGTCCATACGTCGAAGCAGTACCGAGTGTTCGATAAAACGGGGTGGCTACACCCACTATTGACAATGATAATAAAGAACCGCGGCTGTTCAGACTTTTGAAATCCGACCAGTGTGATTTTAACTCATTTTACGTGACCTTCTCGTCGTTGAGGAAATCTGAAATTGTACACACGTAATCTAGAGAGTCGAAAAGTTCTTTTTTGAAAAAAAATAAAAATCGGTTAAACAGTTGTTGAGTATCTTTCTTTGATTTTTTGTTCTTTGGCTTTTTTGTGCGAGTTTATATTCCATTACGATACCAACTTTTTGAAAATGCCGAAAAAGGGAGGTCGTTTTTTGTTTTACTTAGAAATATTGACAAGTAAAAATAAAGGGTCTGTCAGACTATTTTAGACGAAATTAAGGCGAAAATGGCCTAAATTGAAACAAGTAATAATATAAGATTAGATAATACTTTATTATCTAGAGGGAAATTGTCCTTGGCTGTACAGGATCGTAGAAACACATGTAGGTATCATCATCGAGAGCCAGATCTGCGACAGACTTCGGCGATCATGGTTCTCCATTCATTCCTTTGCTCGGATGCTCTAAAAAAAGCTACGTTTCCCTGATCTTTCCCTGTTACCCATTCGTTTAGGTTCCCTAAATATGTTGTTCTGGGCCTACTCCTGTCTCGCTTGCCCTCAATTTTGCCAGTGAGAGCTAGATGTTCAAGACCCTTATGTCTATTCAGGTGTTCCAAGAACATGCAGGTATACATTTAAAAAAAATTAAATTATATATTACTCTCATTAAAATTCAATACGAAAAGAGAAGTAAAGCTGACAAATTGTACATTCACATCAGAAGCATCATTCAACCGCATGCAGGAATTTAATTACAAGACCTTTGGAGTTATAATATACATGTAGATACCTACTCTACAGAGCAACACACATCTATGCTTCATTCTGACAATAGCGTTATGCTATATATATGATTTTTTAAAAACTTGTTTTTTTTTCTTTGTTTTTGGAGGTACTTATCTGCCGCTGCGTGATCTTACAATTTGCGTGGAAAGGGGGTGTGATGGGTCGTTTATAATGCTTTTTACCTTTATTGTACGTGTGGTTTTATACATTTCATCAATTCAAATAAAATCATATCCAGAGATCTTGCTGGCTTTCTTAATGGTTATGTCAAACCTTTCTTTATCTTTCACCTTTCAATTTACAAAATAATGGCTCGTAATGATTATCATCTCACTTCTCCGATGCGGGGATGGAGAGGTCACAGTGGATGGAGCGAATGTGTGACGTCCGCAAACAGACGGAACGCACCACCGGGTGTGGTGTGGTGGGGGACAATACAGCGGGCGGGTTAGCCTAGAGCCCTCTCTTTCTGATCGCCAACGCTGAGCTGTCAACTTCGCTAGAGAAAGAAACCTGATTCGATTTTTGATCAAGTATGACCAAGAGGTCATGTTAAAACAAAATCATCATCAGGGGAGATCACAAAAAGAAATAAACAGAACACCAAACTCATAGATTAGGCCAACTTTATTATTTCCATTGGATTTATTACTGGATCACTTATTGCGAGAATCTGGTATAACGCAAATGTGACACCGGTCCCCTCCCTCTCATTATAACAGGATTCCACTGTAATTAATTTTGAAACCATTATGTGGGGTTGGATAGTGTTGAATGCGGATGAAACATCAGCAAAAAATATCCTGCAGTAATTTCTAGGTGTATCTTTGTGTTTGTAGATGTTATTTAAGAGCATGAGAATGGCACACCCCTCTTGGCACGATAGGCAAATTGCATGTTATCCAGTATGTCTTCTCTTGATTTCCTCAGTTCTTTCAGAACCCGTTTTTCTAAACATTTCATTTTTTTTTCATAAGGACCCATGTTAAAACCACAGGTCTTAGGTTATTCAAATTTTGTATTGATTGTTTCTTTGGGACAGGAAATATTTCAGAGCATTTCCATGAAAGTGGTATTATTCGTTCTTTCAAAGACTTATGTAATTGAATATATCAGTATAAGTGGGAGACAACTGAGTAGAACACATTTTAATAATTTAATTTTTTCTCTGTCGAGTCCACTCGCTTTGTGAGCTTTCACTAATTCAGACGATTTTACACGATCTTGACCTCCTAAACATTAACCTCTAAAATGTCCTTGCTCTTGTCATAGTTTTCGTCTGTGTTGTTGTTGTCGTCTGTGCAGTCATTTTGAGTCGCGTCTTATGACAGTTGGCACCTGGTCGGAGAAGTCGAGGTTGTAAAAACGAGCGTTAAAAGAAGAATTCAGTTCGTTTACAAACCGACTTGGGTTCGTGTCTTGTGTTGGAATGTTTGTCCGTCATGGTGCGTCTCCAACTGTAGTTTTTAAACATTGCCACGTCATTTTTGTGTTGTTACAAGTGAAATTGTGTTCTAACTTTTCTTTGTAAACATGCTTACACTCCCTTTTTTTCCTTTAACATATTATTTGTTGTTTTTAATTTGTCTCGGTCTTTCAGTTTGAATGCCTTCTTCTTCTATTTTGATATTTCATTTAGCTCCTTGCTAACCCATGGCTTTTTGTTATGGTAGTAGATAACTTATTTTTTAGATGAATGTAGATCTTCACAAAACCTAATGAAACCAACGATAGTCTCACATTTTTCATTTACACGAGTACATGAATCTTTAAAAACATTCCAATCCGTACATTCAAAGCAACCTCTCAGGTTTTCCCTGTTTTCTTCACTCCTGATGGTGACAACTTTTTAAATTGGTTTTGAAGATTTTAATTTGGGTTTGACTTTGGTGATAAAAGAGACATGCAATGACCAGAGTTTCCTACTGAAGCCAGAGAGATACATTTGTAAGCATTAGAAGCATTTACATAACTTAAGTCAATAGTTTTGTCCTCACTGGTTGGTACATTAACATAGTGATGGAAAGTGGGGAGGGCAGAAGTTAAAGAGTATTAGTTAAAATCCCCAATGATAATTATTACATCGTCTGGACAAGAAGACTGTTGTTCAGACAAGCTCTACCTCGAAAAAAAAAAGACCAAACCGCCTGAGAAAGGACAGCGTCTTGCCTCATGACAATGCCATACTGCATACCGCAGAACTGACCAAGGATTAGCTACGAAGATACGATGTGGAGATTCTGCCACAATTAGCACACAATCAAGACATTGCTACTTTAGATTATCAACTGGGACTGGACCTCTTAAGTGGTATCTGTCAGGATACAGCTTCAAAGAGGAAGAAGATCTCTTTGAAGAAGTTTAGAATTCGTTATAACCTCTTGACGAGGATTTCTTGAGAGAGGGTATATTTTGACTTGTGCACCGATAGCAAAAATTCATTGATCTTCACTCGGAGATTACACTGAGAAGTAAATAAATAGTGTGAGTAATTAATTCAGAAATTCAGTGTGAAATTAAAAGTAGATTTTTTTCAAATTATTGCTATTTTCACCTTAAATTCGGGAGAGCCCTCGGTGTCACGATAGTCACCGTATTGTACCTTACTCTTTTTTAATCACGGGACGTAAGCGCCCCGTATGCCATGGGCTTTTGGTTAATGTTTTTCACTTCGGGGATCAACATAAAAAAGTCAGACACTACACCCGGGCTCATTATTAGATTGCCTGCTGTCGTGTGTGTTCGTCCCTCCAGTTTACACTCGTGTGTGTATACTAGCATTACATGGTGTCAGAAGTCAGTGGATAGCGTGTCACAAGTGTCAGAATGCCTCATTTCAAGCCTCCTGAACCGTTTGATTTTTCCAAACCTCACGAGTGGCCCGAGTGGCGACAGCGTATGCTACGATACCGCACAGCCACCAAACTGAGCGCAGAGACCGGAGCAATTCAAGTAAGTTCATTGATTTACGCTATGGGACGCCAAGCTGAACAGATATTTAACACGTTCACGTTCCCTGCTCCCGTCGAAGGTAACGATTCTAGGGACAACTTTGACACTGCCTTAGAGAATTTCGACGCTCACTTTGTCCCCAAGCGGAATCTTATCCACGAAAGAGCAAAGTTTCATGCACGAGCACAAAACAGTGGGGAGACAATAGAAGAATATGTAAGAGCCCTGTACGAGCTTTCAGAACATGCAGACTTTAAGGACCGAGATGAAACCATAAGGGATAGACTCGTCCTAGGAGTACTGGACAATGAACTGTCACAGCGCTTACAACTCTAGGCAACTCTTACTTTGAAATCAGCCATCGAAGCAGCTCGCCATTTCGAGCTCGTAAAGGGTCAGGTCAGTAGCCAACGTCAGCTAGGTGCAGCAGTCACAGTAGATGCATTGCGCTACGCCAGAGGGGATATTCGTCGCCTGCTCACCCCAGGGGTAGAGGCGGCCGAAGAACAAGTAGACACTCACAACACAGAGGCAGCCATGCATCACCGTCAACTTTCTCTAACTACAGTAGCTGTGGAAGAGGTCATGCCCAAAACAATTGCCCAGCGTGTGGGAAAACTTGCAGCAAATGCGGCAAGCGCAATCATTTCGCAACAGTCTGTCGCAGCAACAGCCGCAATGTCAACGAAATCACTGAATCGGAAACTCCTTCGTTCTTTTTAGGTGCTGTTGACAAAGACTCGGACAGTAATGTCGTTACCGATGTAAACTCCAGGCGAAGTTAATGAGCCACCATGGCGCGTTACACTGAACCTTGGAGGGAGAGCTACATCCTTCAAGATAGACACAGTGGCCGATGTTTCGATAATGTCGAAGGCCGTCTACAACCGTCTCAGTCCTCCTCCAAAGCTGAAAACAACGTCTGGAGTTCTTCGCAGTCCTGGTGGAGTCATAAGGAGCGTGGGAGAATTTATCGCAACTACGCAGCATAACAATCGCAACTTTGCGTTCCGTGTTTTCGTCCTTGACTACGACACCGACTGTCTTCTCAGTCGCGACGCCGCAGTTCGTCTGGGACTGATCTCTCGAGACAGAATAGACCCTGCCAACCTCGTGTTCGGCGATGTGGGACCTCAACCTATACGCTGCGAGCCAGTGAAAATCATCTTGAAAGAAGATGCGCAGCCATACTCTGTGAACGTCGCACTTCGGATTCCCATTCCACTCATGGACGAAGTCAAAGCTGAACTAGACCGCATGGAGGCCGCAGGTGTCATTGAGAAGATCAGCGCTCCTACTGACTGGTGCGCGTCCATGGTCCCGGTCAGAAAAAGGTCTGGTAGCGTTAGAATCTGCACAGATCTGAAAAAGCTCAACCTATCGGTGAAGCGTGAACGATTCATGCTGCCCACCATAGACGACATTTTGTACAAACTCAGCGGATCAAACAAGTTCAACAAGCTTGATGCAACTTCATCCTTTTGGCAGTTGGCATTGGACGACGACTCCGCGAAGCTGACCACTTTCATTACACTGTTCGGTCGGTACTTCTACAGACGTCTCTGATTTGGAATCACCTCTGCGCCTGAGATATTTCAGCGCACGATGCAAGACATTCTAGCGAGCATAGACGGTGTTGAGTGCTTTATGGACGATATCCTCCTGCACACGGATGGTCAGGAGAAACATGATAAGCTGAAGAAGAAAGTCTTCCAGCGGCTAAAGGAGCGTGGGGTCAAGTTGAACAAATCCAAGTGCAAGTTTGACAAGGATGAAATCGATTTTCTAGGCCACATCATCAGCGGCCAGATCCATCCAAGGTCAGCGCCATCACTGAAATGCCAGAGCCAGAGAACATGACAGACTTACGACGAGTGCTCGGCATGGTGAACTATTTGGGCAGGCTTGTGCCAAATCTGTCAACAGTCATGAAGCCGCTCACCGATCTTTTGAATCGCGATGCTGAGTGGGCGTGGACTCCAGCGCAGTCATCTGCCTTCACTGAAGTCAAGAAGTTACTGTCGTCAGCTCCAACACTCGCCTTCTTCGACATGAGGAAGCCTGTCACTGTAAGCGCCGATGCAAAGCAGCTACGGACTGGGGGGAGTTTTCCTCTAGGAGGACAGGGGTGATCTTCAGCCAGTGGCCTACTGTTCCAGAACTTTATCTAGGGAGGAGAAGAACTACGCTCAGGTCGAAAAGGAACTGTTGGCGGCCACCTGGGCGTGCGAAAAGTTCGATCGCTACCTCATCGGTCTGCCGTCATTCACACTGCTCACCGACCACAAGCCCATTGTGCCTCTGATCAACTCTAAAGAACTGAATGATGCACCTGTCCGCTGCCAACGAATGCTGATGAGGATGATGCGCTACAGCGGAAAGGCAGTATACACCCAAGGGAAAAACATGACTGTCGCAGACTCCTTGTCCCGAAGTCCAGTAGTGAGCACCGAGCCTGAAGAATTTGGTGAAGAAATCGAGGCTCATGTCGCTACAATCCAGATGTCATGGGATGCCACGGATAGCAAACTTGGCGAAATCAGAAACAAGTCTCAACAGGATCCAGCGATCAGTGCTGCGATACAGTACACCAGAAGCGGTTGGCCAAAATTCATACAAAACGTCAGGTCCGAAGCTCGCGACCTCTACGCAGTTTCCAGTGAACTGAGCGAAGTCCATGGACTACTCGTCAGAGGTAACCACATCGTAATCCCAAAGGCAATGCGAGGTGAGATGCTCAGCAGGATCGACGACGGTCACCTCAGAGTGTCGAAGTGTCGAGAACGGGCCAAATATTCCATTTGGTGGCCTGGTCTCAGCTCCGAGATACGGGAAGTCGTCTCTAGATGCGACCATTGTCAGCGGAAACGTCCAGCACAACCAAGCGAACCTCTAACCCCAACAGCTCTACCTGAGCGGCCGTTCCAGATGGTTGGTGCTGACCTCTGCAACTACAAGGGACATGACTACCTGGTACTCGTGGACTACTTCTCACGGTACTTGGAGGTGGCCTACATGCCAGACACCACCTCAGAGACTGTTGTGTACAAACTGAAAAACATCTTCGCTCGGTTTGGCATTCCAGAACTACTTCTGACTGACAACGGTCCCAAGTTTGTGTCAGACCGTTTCCACAAGTTCGCCAAGGGCTGGGGGTTTAAACACACGACCAGCAGTCATTTTCCCCAAAGCAACGGCGGGTCGGAGAGAGCAGTCGAGGAAGCGAAGAAAGCCCTGAGTCAGGACGACCCATTTTTCGCACTCCTGATCTACAGGTCTACACTGGTGTCACCAACGGAGGCGAGCCCAGCGGAACTTGCTCTTGAACGACGCCTGAGGACGACCCTGCCAACTCTACCGTCAAACCTGAACCAGCAGGTCTACGACAGAGCGAAGATTGCAGCCAGAGACGCTGAGTCGAAGCGTAAGTACAAACAAGCTTTTGACAGACGTCACGGAGCCCAGAACCTCCCGGAGCTGAATCCTGGTCAGCTCGTCCTGCAGAAGCTGGAGACCGACAAGGAGTGGCGTGGCCCTGCGGTTGTCAAAGAACGGTGTGCACCGAGGCCTTACATCATACAGTCTGGGGATAGGGCTTACCGCAGGAACCGCAAACACCTGAAGCGCTACGTCGACCCTCCTTCCATGCCTTTTTCACTTGTTGCCACCCCAGAGCCTACTCTGATGTTCGTTCCCTTACCTCCACCACCAGCTGTCCAGCTGGTGGAGCCTGATGTCACACCACCATCACCTCAGCCAGATGTCGCTCCAGCCAGTCCTGCTCCAACAACTACCCGAAGTGGACAAGTGGTCAGGAGACCCGCTCGCTACCCGGACTGATGTTCTTGCGACCCAGTCGTATCCTTTCGATGACTGATTTTACTTTTTGTTTATTCTTTGCTGATTACCCAACAGTTGTGTAGACTTACCTGTTCGAGGTAATTTATTTTCTTAAGTTTCGTTATTTGAACGCTATGCAGTTCTATGAATGTGACAAAGACAATTTGAAATGTGGAAATTATGAAATACCAAAGAACTTTATTGAAATGTGTTACCAAGTTCTCAAGTGCAAGCCCCGAATCTTCAAAGACAATTGATGTGTGAATTTTGTTAAAGTTAGAACATTCCCCATTGAGAGACTCGAAACCGATAATCTTTAATCCGTTTTGGGGTTTTCCTTTTTCTTCAATATTAAAAGGGGAGATGTCACGGTAGTCAGCGTATTGTACCTTACTCTTTTTTAATCACGGGACGAAAGCCCCGTATGCCATGGGCTTTTGGTTAATGTTACTCACTTCGGGGATCAACATAAAAAGTCAGACACTACACCCGGGCTTATTATTAGAATGCTTGCTGTCGTGTGTGTTCGTCTCTCCAGTTTACAGTCGTGTGTGTATACTAACATTACACTCGGTATTATCAAATACTTCAAAACTATCCTTTCGACTTAGGAAAAGCCATGTTGGTTGTCTGTTGTCCCCACTAAAGGAACGTATATTTTCTGCTTCGCAGTGAGACAATGGCGAAAAAAGGTTGGAGGCCATGGTCTGCTGCTATCGTAGTCCTCCTTGTTGTTACGAGAATTGATGCCATTTGCCAGAAACGAGAAGTATTGGGGGATCTCTCCATCCCGGGGTAAGTTTGGGGATGACCTGTCCTTGACTTGACAAAACGATTAATTAGTGATAAAATATGTTCATGATGAACGGTTCATGATTTGCATATATAATTTATGCATGACAAGTAGTTTGTCTATTCTAGCGTAGGTAAGTGAAGTGATTTTATTCCAGAATGAGCTTTTGAATTATTTTGTCAATTCATGAGTACGTTTACGAGAGCTTTGACTATTCTCTAGTTAAAAATTATGTCAAGGGATTTGCCTATTCCACGATAAATTGTTGACTTAGTTATTGCATAGTGAAATATGGAACAATTTGTCTTGCGTTATGTATTTTTAAGGGTAATCTTTAGTACAATATTTCGCTCTGTCCCGGAATTTGTAAAGTGATCTGTCTTGTGATGCTCTGTCTGTACCGAGGGTATTTTATTCATTAACATCACTGAAGGTAAACTGTCCATAGCCATTTTTACTGATTCAGTGTAAACTACACGAATATAATCGCAGCAATTTCTATTCGCAGCTTTTTCTATTCGTTTTCCCCCCTCAAATGTAGCTGTTTTACTACCTCATCGATGCAATCTAGATACCCTCTAGAAGCAGACTTCAACTCTGATTGTCAAAGCCAACCTTTGCTGAAAGAAATACTAGGTTCCAACGGAAAGACCGAGATGCTCGATAAAATTACCCCCAAAACGAACCAAACTCAAGTCTTCTGTGTGCGAAGGCTAAGTGCCTATCTGTTACACTATAGACGCCAGTTTTCTACTCGTATGCTGCTGTATAGTAAACAGATTGTGTTCTCCTACTTGGCGCTACTGTTCCAACTTGAGTGTTTGTGGTGGATATAAGATTGTAGCCCAGTTGAACTCTTTCATCATGTTGTAAATCGGGTCAGTCGTCTGCATCTGCGCGTTAATGAACCTTTCCACTTCCCCAGAAAAGGCTTCTGAGTCTGCTCTGGCTGACTTTCATTCCATGAGATTTGACCTTTAAAGTCAAAGCACTTTAACCCTTTGACGTGAGTGGAGAAGATGAAAGGTAGTCGATGACGTACATACTATTTTATATCCTTACCACTTCTTGCCATAGCCTTCAATTTTCTCAGTCTTCCCGATTTGTTTTTATCGCACCTTTTGACATTATGACGTGTATGCGCGTACTTTTGTTGCTATAGCTTGCAGTTATTAGATTTTACATGATTGTTTTTGTATCGTGTTCCTGACGAAGCCCTTTACAGGGCGAAAAGTTGAACTTGTATTAAACCTGAAAAATCTCTCTACCCCCCTTTTTTTCTCTGCTACCTAAAAATGATGATGATGGTGATGATGATGATGATGATGATGATGATGATGATGATGATGATGATGATGATGATGATGATGATGATGATGATGATGGTGGTGTCAGTGACAAAGTCGTCTACGACGTAGAAAAAGACAACGATAGACACTCCGACAACACATGACTTTATTTAAGACGTGAGTATAGTGTGACAGAGAAAAAAAATCCAATAAAGAAACAAAAAGCAAAGAGAAAATCTGGGGTAGATTACCTCTCTCCTTCTCAACCCCACCTCCGGACACATCCTGAAATAATAGTTACCAGTGTATAGAGTGGTTCAGTCGTTTGTCTTTGCTTTCACCTTTACGAAGGCACAATGACATGTATGCAGTGATCCAACCAAGTGTCTTTCCTTTCACCGTTACCTGGATACCTGTGCGCATAGATTCAACTGTGTGTCGTTGCTTTCTCCATTACATGGGCACCTCTATGCAACGATTCAACCGACTGTGTTTTCTTTCACCGTTTCCTGGATATCTGTGCGCATTGATTTAACAGTGTGTCTTTGCTTTCACCTGTATGCAGTGATTCATCCGAGTGTCTTTTCTTTCTCCCTTACCCAGGCACCACCCTCTGGTTGTCCGTTACAACGTTTGCGTAGACAACACCACCATATCACCCGAACCCTCCATGGTGCAGACCGGGTAAGCGATCGAATTGCATCCATTGAGCCTTAGTTTCAGGGGTTTCACTAAGATTCTCTACTGGTAGTATAGAATCTTTGGTTTCACTATAGCTGATGCATAGATAGTATATTTGTCACTTAGAGGCTATGCAAGGGACACTTTCACAGGATGACGTCTAATCAATCTGCATAGTTAAACGCAGATGAACTAATGAATTAACTAACAAACCAAGAAGCGAATAAAATTGCTTGTTCAATAATCTTAAAAGTCTGCATTACATGTATTTGCTGTCAAACACAATGACTAACAGAGTAGAGTCTATTCGTGTATGTGTGGTGCATGCTTGCAAGCGTGCATGTGTGTGTTTGTGTGTGTGTGTGTGTGTGTGTGTGTGTGTGAGTGAGTGTGTGAGTGTGTGTGTGTGTGTGTGTGTGTGTGTGTGTGTGTGTGTGTGTGTGTGTGATATATACATATATATAATATACACACTATGATGTTTTAATTTTTTTAAAATACGTAATGATTTTTTTTCGTTTATATGTCCTCAGGGTTGCTACCTTCATACGAGAGTGTTGTGGATGCCGGGTCTCCAGTGTAACAGAGAGAGAGGTGAGTGGACAGTATGTGTGTGTGTGTGTGTGTGTGTGTGTGTGTGTGTGTGTGTGTGTGTGTGTGTGTGTGTTCCAAAATTTCTTCACAACAAGCCAGAGGGATTGCTCATGTTGATTCATTCAAATGTCAGCTGAAGTCGTTTCTGTTTTAAAACTAATAAGATAAATATTAGGAGTGATTTTCTTTTATTCAGAACACAACGTTTTATGTTACTGTTGTACCTTGTACTGTTTTGTAAAGCGTTCAGAGCCTGTGTATTTTAATCGGGGTGGAGTGCTATATACATGTCTATTATTATTATTATTATTATTATTATTATTATTATTATTATTATTATTATTATTATTATTATTATTATTATTATTAAGGCCAATAAACAACAAAAAAAAAGATTGATGAACAGTCCATTATTCATTAGACTGAAAACGTTGAAGATAGGCCTACCTAAAACTCAGGATTTTTACTCACTTTTTAAAAAGTCTCTTTTGATATGGTTTCTGTCCGCTCAACAAACTTTCCTAGCTATAACGTAGAAAAAGCCTATTATTTTCTATTGGTATGGTCGCAGTCTGAAACATAAAGTATTTTTCAACGGATAAGAATGGAGTGGATCCTAGGCTGGTGCTCTGGTATAGTTTGCTCCTTCTACCCTCTTAAACACCTGTCGTCTTTATCTCTCCTCTTTTTTGTATATTATTACTCTCTAATAACATCTTTGATCGTCAGCGCTTATATGATCTATTTGTGATGCAAGTACCGTTGAACTCTCACTGCAACTTAGATAGGACTACAAAAGAGACACTACGGTACAAAAGTGTGGGCGCGCGTTTTCAGTGTTAGTTTGTGTGTATGCATGAGTGAGTACGTGTGTGGGTTTGTGTTTGTGTGTGTATGCATGTGTGTTTACGTGCGCGCTGTGTGCAAAATTGTTTTGTGTATGTGTGTGTGTGTGTGTGTGTGTGTGTGTGTGTGTGTGTGTGTGTGTGTGTGTGTGTGTGTGTTGTGTTTGTGTGTTTGTGTGAGTTTGTGTGAGTGTGTGTGTGTGTGGAGGAAGGGGGGTGTGGGGTGTGTAAATACCTTACTTTTTACTTTTTATTTTTTCCTTCCTCTGGTATCCTTAGGATGTTGATGGGAGGTGCAGGTTTAGGTCCTGTGCTAGGTGTGTAGCGTCTGTGGTAAATAATATGTTATGTTGTTCCAGGACCTTTTTGTTACCCCATCCAGCCTTTCTTGGTCTTCCTCTTGATTTGAAGCCGGATTCTCGGGTATTGTAAGCTCTAGCCGCTAGTTGTTTCTGGGGCTTTCTGGTTAGATGTCCAAACCATTAGACTCTTTGACGCTCTTTGAATTTTTATTACTGGTGGTATTCCAGTTTGCAGACGTATGCTTTCGTTTCTTATGTGGTCTCTTCTGGTGACCTTGGTGGTTTTGCGGAGGCACCTCATTTCGCATGCATTGATATTTCTTTCTTGTGCCTTGCTTAGAGACCATGTTTGGTGTTGGTATTTTAAGGCTGGTATGAAGATGCTATTGATGAGCTGGAATTTCACTTCGATTGGGATGTTTTTGTGACTGAGCAGGGGTGCTAGCTGGTAGGTCGCTGCATTTGCCTGCATTATTCTTGTTTCTATTTCTTTTTCCATACGCCCATCTCGTGTGAAGATGCTTCTCAAATTTTTAAATTCCTTTACTTTTTGAAATTGTGTTCCGTAAATAAGGATGTTGGATTTCCTTGGGTTTCAGCAGACCTTCATAACTTCTGTTTTTGAAATGGAGATTTTTATGTTTAGGTGTTTACATTCATCATTTAGTTTTGTGGTGTGTTTTCGTAATTCTTCTTCATCTGTATTTAATAGACTCTGGTCATCAGAAAATAGAAGCACGTTCAGTTCAGTGATGTTGTCATTTGCTGTTTTCGTGATCTAATCAATAAAGTGATAAAGAGCAGCGGAGAGAGAACTCTCCCTTGTCTCACACTAGACCTGAAGGGAAACCTGTCCAAAAGTCATTATGTTGGTATTACGGCACACAGGCTGTTTTTATAAAGTGACATGATGTTCTCCAGGAACTGTCCTCTTACACCATATTCCTGTAAGACTTCCCAATATTGAAATTTACCCGATCGAACGCCTTTTCCTGGTCCAACGAGACGATATTGAGGTCTTTGTTATGTACAATGGCAGTCTCACACAACTGTCTTAATGCCCCTGCCTTTTCTGAAGCCAAACTAGGATTCACTGAGTTGAGTCTCTACAATTGGTCTCATTCTCATTTCCAATGTCTTGGCATGCATTTTACCCACATGGCTAAGAAGGGATATTCCTCTGTCGGTTCCACAGTCTCTTTTGTTACCTTTCTTTTTTTCCAAATAGGTACAATGACAGCTCGCTGCCAGTCATCGGGTGTTATTTTGTCGCCCAGGCCATTTGTGTATGCTACATATTATCTGTTTATAAATATTATATTATACTCATGTACATACGTATGCTCCCATGTAGCACTTCGATAACTTTGTACTTTTATCTTATTTCGTAGTAGCTGTCGAAAACGAAATACGTATCCCTCCCCCCTCCCCCTCCACCCACTCCCCATCCCCACCCCGTTTCCAGTGAAGGATAAATACAGTGTTCCTTTGTCTTGGCTCATTTTACAAACATTCTATTTCAGCACCGCCTGCAAACGCTACACCCTCCATCTGAAACCCGGAGCATCTACGTGCCGGAGATCCAAGCCTGCGAGTGCGTGGCTTGTGACACCAACGTCTACGACTGGGCCCAGTACTTCATGTTTCTCAACCACAGGAGAAGGAAATAAAGCGGCACGTTGAAAATAACTAAAACCGTGTTAGTAGGCAGGTCTACTTGGCTTTGATTATGTTCTTCTTGTTTGTAGTCGTGATGATCTTTTCTTTCTTTCTTCTATATTTGTTTTTTAAAGTGTGGCCTATAAATATTTACAAAGCAGTTTCATTGTATTGTGTTCCCCGCAATTTGTTTTCCC